AATTTCAAGAAAATTGAAATTTAGTGTTCATTTATAAAGATCGAATTTGACCACATGTTAAATTCTCATTCGAGTTTGTGCGAATCATTGTAATTTCGTTGGCAGAGAATAAAAAAAAATGTAAAATATTAAATCTGATCATAAAAAAAAAAAAAAATAAATTGTGATGACTTGAAACTTAAAGATATTTTGTTGATTTAATTTTACATTTTTTTTGTAAATTTCGATATATGTCGAAGTAGGGAGAATAGGTCGATTCTAACCCACTTTTTCCACGGGTGCGAGAGAGAGGTCTCGTAGAGCGAGAGAGATAGAAAGATATCTGAGGGGCAGGGTGACGGCGGCGCGGGTGAGCAGGGGGGGTAGGTAGGGCGAGGGGAGCCGCTCGCCGTCGGGTGGGTAAACGGAGGGTCGTGACGTCACGCGGCGGCGGGAGGGCGAGGGGGCGGCGGGGCGAGGGGGGAGCGGACGGAGGGTAGGGCGAGGGGCGGCGGGGCGAGGGGGAGCGCGGTTCGCGCTGGAGCGAGGAAGAGGGGGGGGAGAGCGCGCGTCCCTGGTTACGGCGGGCGCGCGTCCCTGGTTACGGCGCGTCGGAGCGTCTCTGGACGCGGCGCGCTAGGCGCGCGCGATAAGCGGCGATCGCCCCGGCGTCGGGCGCGTCGCGCGAGATAAGGCGTTAATAATAGAGCGGATGTGTTCGACGCTGCCCTGGAAGAGACGTAATGTAAAATGTGCGATTTAAATAATATTTATACAATATTTATACGATATTTAAATAATATTAACGCAATATTTATACCGCGCATACGCGCCTCCTCAGGCTCGCGTCGTTTCGACGCGCCGAGGAGGGAGCGGTCTCGAGCGGTCTCGAGCGTTTTCATCGCGTCTTACGCGTCGCTCGAATGTAAATTCGAATATTTTTTCATATGTCCGTTTGTAAGAAAAAAAGCGCGCGATGTATCGGGAGAGCACGCGGAGCGCGGCGGTGTTTCTCGCCTCGTCTCGTCGTAGACGTCGAACGCGAGTTCACCGCGCGCGAGCGCATCGCTCGAATTTTAACCTAAATGTGCGCGCGTTTCGTAAAAACGAGCGTACTATGTATCGGGAGAACACGTCGCGAGTAGAGGCTTTTTCTCTCTCGTCGACGGTGGTCGTCGATCCTTCGTTCCGGAGGATCGACGGAGAGCGCGTCGATCGGACGAGGACCTCGTCGCGCGCCGCGCGCGATATCGCGGTTTCGCGCGATATCGCGGTCGTGGCGCGTTTTCGGACTCGCCGCTTATCTCTCCTTTTTTTTTTAAGCGCGATAACGAGAGAGGAGCGGGATTCCGTTAGGATTTACTCGCGCGCGAGGGATATTCGCGGCGACGCTTCCGTCGCCGTTCCTTCCTCTCGAGCGCGTCGCGCTAAGACGAGAGGGATATTCGCGGCGACGCTTCCGTCGTCGTTTCTTTCTCTCGAACGCGCAGCGGCGAGAGACGCGCGCGCGCCGAATCCGGTCGAATGCGGTATTTCGACGGATTCGTCGTTTCCGAAGGCGAAAACCGCGCGACCGCGGAGAAATTTTTTCCCGCTCGCGCGACGTCGTCGTCGTCGTCGTCGCTCGAACGAGCGAGTATAAAGACGCCGACGGTCGTTTCGAGGCGCGCACACATCTCGCGGATGGTCGCGATCGGTCCGTCCGATCGTTTTCTCGGGAAGATAGGTTCGCGAACGACGAGGCGCGCGTATGAGCGGCGCGAGTTCCGCCGGAGTCGTCTCTACCGTCGACGGTAGAGCGACGGAAAGGGAAGAGGAGTTGGCGCGCCCGATAGACGACGACAACTTCGAGTTGAAGGAGAGCGCGCGATGGAACGTCGCGACGTATCATCTGAGAAGAGCCGTTCAAACGCACAGTCGGCGCGAGGAGTTGTGGGTCGAGACGGCTCTGGCCAACAGTCGCAGAGCCCTCGTTTTCAACGTTAAACTAGACAGATGGTTTGACGCGAAGTATCCGAGGTCGAAGTACCCGAAGGGTTATCCGTATCCAGAGGGTCGGAAATTCCACTCGTTCGATTATCCCCAACCGGATGTTCGATATTTCTCACCGCTCACGCGCTGCGAGATCCGCGTGCCCGAGGATAACGCGGGTAGAACTCTGCGATACACGTACGATCGCGAGGACAGCGGTCGCGAGTACCCGTTCCGCCGAAATATGTTCTGCGGCGTGGATTTGATACGCTTGAGGCGCGAGTTGTCATGAGCGAGGAGCGCGTCGATCCACCGATCGATCGCTACGTTCGAGTGTTGAAGGAGAGGATCGCGTGGAGCGTCGCGACCTATTCGACGAGGCGGGCGATCGGTCTTCGAGACGCGCGCGAGGAGCTGTGGATCGAGACGGTCCTGGTGTGTAGCGGAAGAGCGGCGAGATTCGACGCCGGAGATACGCGGGCGACCGGGACGCGTCGCGGGATTTCGCTGCCGGTGGATTCGCGAGGCGAGACGCTGTGGATAAGGCCTCGCGGGGAGGAGAGAGAGAGGACGACGAATCGCCGTAGGGAGAGAAGAGGACGCGACCATGCGGGAGGAAGAGCGCCGGACGCTGGAGAGCGCGCGCGAAGTCGTCACGACGGACGACTATCGCGCGTGGACGCGACGATGCGAGGAGTGTCTCGCGACTCTGCGCGAGAGGTGTCTGGACGCGAGTCGTCGAATCTCCACGGGGGCGAGGACCTCTCTGGTCGCCCGAATCCTGCGAGTGATCGGCGCGAGGAACGATCTACGGCGACGTTTCGAGCGGGAGGGCGCGGGTGTCGCGAGACGCGAGGACGACGGCGGTAGCGGGGTCGAGTCGCGCGAGGGATTCTCGTGGTCCGAGGTCGAGACGGCTTTCAAGAGACGCGTGTTGACCGGCGCTGTGATAAATCTCGATTACATCGAACCTCTGAGATTTCTCGAGGACGCGAGGGACACCGTGCTCCGCCGCGTGCGCGACGTCATGGGCCGATATCGCAGCGTTAAAGTGAACACGACGTTCAACGGAGAATTCGTGTCGGGCGATAAAATCGCCGTTAAGACGATCGCCACGAGAAACCATCCCCTTCTACCCACGACGGATCTGCGCGAGTGGTACGATACTCGCGTCGTCGGCGATACCGTCGCGTCTTTGGAGGAGTTTCAAGAGCGCGACAGCGGATGGGCCCTGTCGCGCATACTCGATCTAACGGTGAACGTGAACGTGTACAATCCCATGCGGGCGGGGTGCCACGTGCGAGTACCGCGAGAGATTCAAACGAAGAGAGCGGTGATCAACGTGCGATCCGACGACGACGACGAGGCGTGTTTCGCGTGGTCGGTGGTCGCCGCTCTGTATCCCGTGGATAAGCACCGCGAGAGAAGCTCGCGATATCCGCATTACACCGAGGTGTTGAATCTGGAGGGCTCGAAGTTACCTATGACTCTGAACGGAATCGGACGGTTCGAGCGTCTGAACGATATATCGGTGAACGCGTACACCGTCGGAGAGAGACGACGCGGGAAGGACGGCGACGGCGGGATTCGCATCGTCCCTCTTCGTCTGACGGATCGAAAGAGGGAGAGACACGTCAATCTGCTGTATCTGAGCGATGCGACGCGCGAGGGTAACGCGGTCGGACATTTCGCCTGTATTCGAGATCTGTCTCGTCTGATCGGCTCGCAGTTGAGCAAGCGACAGCACAGGACGCACGTGTGCGACCGGTGAGCGTTCGATCTCGGCGAGCGAGAGCGAGACATCGAGCTAGCGTTTATTTCGTACTTTCTTTCAGATGCATGCATTACTTTCGCACGAGCGAGAAGCTGTCGGCGCACAGCGAGGATTGCGGCAAGCTGAACGATTGCGCGATCGTTCTTCCCGGCGAGGACGACAGGTGGCTGGAGTTCGAGCATCATTCGAGAAAGGAGCGAATTCCGTTCGCGGTGTACGCCGATCTGGAGTGCGCGTTGGAGAGGAAGGAGGGGGACGAGGGCGGGAGAACCAAGAATACGCGGATCGTTCAGCATCACAGAGTTCACAGCGTGGCCTATTACACGCGTTGCTCCTTCGACGACGCCGCGTCGGCGTACGGATCTTATCGCGGCGAGGATTGCGTCGCGTGGTTCGTGCGCGAGCTGCGCGATCTGGCGCTTCGCGCGAAGGTCGCCCTCGACGGCGTGGTACCGATGGCGGATCTGACGTCCGACGAGCGGGAGACGTTCGCGAGCGCGTCGCGCTGTCACGCCTGCGAGAGACCGTTCGAGGCCGACGACGTTCGCGTGCGCGATCACTGTCACTTGACCGGCCGTTTCAGAGGTCCGGCGCATTCCGCGTGTAATTTGAATTACAAGGACCCCTACGTTATACCCGTATTCTTTCACAATCTATCGGGTTACGACGCGCACTTCATTATCAAGGATGTGGCTAACGCGTATCCCGGCAGCGTCGAGTTGTTGCCGGTGACGAAGGAATCGTACATAGCTTTCTCTAAGACCGTTCGAGATAGCGCGGCGGCGGCGGCGGAGGGAGACGGGGGAAACGTCGCGCGTTCCAGATACGTCAAATTACGATTCGTGGACTCGTTCAAGTTTTTAGGCGCCGGTCTCGACAAGCTGGCGTCGTATCTCGACGAGAGCAAACTGACGATCGCGCGAGGCGAGTTTCGCGATCTCTCCGACGACGACTTCCGGCTTCTCACGCGCAAGGGCGTGTTTCCGTACGAGTACGTCGACAGCGTCGAGAGATTGCGGGAGACGCGTCTCCCGCCGCGCGAGTCCTTCTACAGTTCTCTGACCGGCGACACCGTATCGGAGAGCGATTACGCGCACGCGACGCGCGTCTGGAAGCGATTCGGCGTCGAAAATCTAGGCGAGTACAGCGATCTCTATCTGAAGACCGACGTTCTTCTGCTCGCGGACGTGTTCGAAAATTTTCGCGCCGCTTGTTTGGAAGTTACGGTTTAGATCCCGCGTACTACTTCACGTTGCCGGGATACACGTGGGACGCGATGCTCAAGTACACGGGGGTCCGTTTCGAACTGCTCACCGATATCGATATGATGATGTTCGTGGAACGCGGAATACGCGGCGGTCTGAGTCAGTGCTCCAACAGATACGCTCGCGCTAACAACAAGTACATGAGCGCGTACGATCCGTCGCGACCGTCGATCTATCTGATGTATCTCGATATCAACAATCTGTACGGTTGGGCGATGTGTCAGCCGTTGCCGTACGAGCGATTCGAGTGGGTCGACGACCTCGAGAGTCTCGACGTGATGTCCGTGACGGAGGACTCGACCGTCGGCTACATTCTCGAGGTCGATCTCGACTATCCGGCCGACGCGCACGACGCCCACGCCGATCTACCGTTTTGTCCCACGCGCGATAAGCCGCCGGGGAAGCGGCAGAGCAAACTCCTAGCCACGCTGTACGATAAGCGCCGATACGTCACGCACTATCGCAATCTGCAGCAGTGCGTTCGTCACGGTCTGCGTCTGACTAGGATTCATCGCGCGCTGCGCTTCTCGCAGTCGCCGTGGTTACGCGGATACGTGGAGCTTAACACGCGTTTACGCACTAACGCGAGTAACGATTTCGAGAAGAATCTGTACAAGTTGATGAACAACGCCGTCTTCGGCAAGACCATGGAGAACGTGCGCAATCGCGTGGACGTTCGACTCGCGACCCGATGGGACGGTCGATTCGGAGCCGAGGCGCTCATCTCCAAGCCGAATTTTCACAGTAGAAGCGTATTCTCGGAGAATCTCATGGCCGTGGAATTGCGCAAATTGGAGGCGAAGATCGACAAACCGATCTACGTAGGCATGTCGATTCTCGATATATCCAAGATTCGTCTGTACGCGTTTCACTACGAATACATGTCGCCGCTCTACGGCGATAAGTGTAAGATATTGTACACCGACACGGACAGTCTCATTTATAGCGTAGAGTGCGAGGACGCGTACGAGCGAATGAAGCGCGACGTCGATAGATTCGACACGAGCGATTACGCCGTCGACAATCCCTACGGCGTGCCGCGCGCGAATAAGAAGGTTCTCGGTCTGATGAAGGACGAGAACAACGGCGCTCTCATGCTCGAGTTCGTCGGACTCAGAGCGAAGATGTACGCGTTGCGAGTCGAGGGTAGAGGCGACACTAAGAAGAGCAAGGGCGTTAGGAGCAGCGTCGTCGCGAGAACGCTGACGTTCGACGATTACGAGCGCTGCCTGAGACGCGAGATCGAGATGACTCGCGAGCAGTCGTGCCTGAGATCCAAGTTACACGAGGTGTACACCGTGCGCGAGTCGAAGGTCGCGCTCAGTCCGTACGACGATAAGCGCTACGTCGTGCCGGATTCGACCGACACTCTGCCGTGGGGGCACTACAGGATACCACTGTGAGGAGAGGCGCGGATAGATCTTAAGCGCAATGCGATGTATTTTTACAGATATGCGCGATGTATTTTATTATCTTTAATGTTGTACAATATATATATGTTCGTTGCGACGCGTTGCAATGCGCGCGATGTATTTTCTTATCCTTAATATTACAAATATGTATATGTGTATGTTCGTTGCGACGTATCTCTTCGTCCGCGATATCGCGCGAAAATATACGTATGTTCGTCACAATATGTCGGCTTTGTCTATCCACGAATTATGCGACCTGTCCATCCCCAGCCACTTCACGAGAACCGCGTCGCCCTTCCGGCGCAGCACTCTCTCCACGAGATACACGTCGGGATCGGAGACTCGCTGCAACTCGTGCTCGTAGAATCCGCCGGTTATCGGCTCGCCGCGCGAATCCTTCAGCAGATACGTCGCGGGATTCGTCCTTCGCACCTCGGCTACGCGGAAGATCTCCGCGGTCCAATTCGGCGTGTATCCCTTCTCGAACAGCGTCTTGTACTTGCTCACGCGCACGGGATCGTTCGGTCGAAATTTTCCCGGAGCGGCGATCTTCGGGTGGCTGTACACCGTCGACAGGAGTCTCGACGCTCGAGCGGGCGTCACGTCGATCGGACGCATCCCGATGGTTCGATGCTTGCGAGCGTTGTACTCGGACATTAGACGCGGCAGCGCGTCGAGCCACTTGTACGTTCCGTTCAGCGTGAAGTACTTCCACATCGAGTTCTTGAGCGTGCGATTGAAACGCTCGACGATGGACGCTTTCAGCACGGAATGCGTCGAGTAGTGATTGATGCCGTGTCTATCCGCGAATCTTCGCACCTCGGCGTTGTAGAACTCCTTTCCTTTGTCGGTCTGCAGATTTCTCGGGCGACGTCCGGAGGCGCGCGTCACGCTCGACAGGGCTCGAGCGACCTCGTCGCCGCTCTTTCTCTTGAGCGGTACCGCCCACGCGTACTTGCTCAGAGCGTCGATGACGGTGAGTATGTAATTGTGGCCTCTGTTCCGTCCGGCGTAAGGACGCATCTCTACGACGTCCGCTTGCCACAGATCGTCGTATCCGCGCACCGCGACGCGGCGACGGGGGAAGTTCTTTCTCGCCGGCGCGTGCAGTTCGTTCACGAGTCTCCGTTTCGCGGCGCTCATCTCGCCGTCTCTATTTTTTTTCCTACCCTCTCTTCGACTGTTGCTTATCGGGAGTTTTAGCGCCCAGTTGTATGATTACCTTATTCGGATCGATCGTCTTAGGAATCGCAGCCGCCGCCGCCGCCGCCTTCGCCGCAGCCCTCGTCGCCGTCGTCGTCGTCGCGGCCGTTCTCCTCGCGAGTTCGTTCGCGTCTTTCCTCAGACGCGCCACCTCGACGTCCAGTTCTCGCAATTTCGCGTTGGAAGTCAGCGCCTTCGCCGTCAACTCCTGCAGCGTTCTGTCGTGATCGCTCAACGCGGCTCGATTTCTCTCGTTGTTCGCCGCTACGTTGTTCACGTGCGACAGAGATCTCTCCAAGGCGCGCACTCGCTTCTCCGTTTTCTCGCCGATCTCCTCGAGCCGCGCGACGGAGGTGCCCAGTTCGCGCGACAGTTCGCTCGACGCGTCCCCGTTCGTCCGATTCGTCTCGACGGAGCTCTCCAGATCGCCCAGTCGCTTGTCGACGACCGCGCGCGAGGCCGATCTCTCCGCCTCGACGGTCTCGATCCTCGTCGCGGCGAGCTCCTGCAGATTCTCCAGCGTTTGCAGCCGATTCTCGAGAGCGCTCCCCCTCGCGCGAATCCGCGTAAAGTCGGCTTCCAGAGCGCTCGATCTCTCGGTCGCGGCGCTCTCGAGAGCGTCGATCTTCTTGCTCAGAGCGACGAATTTCTGCGCCGTCGAGGCCGCGTTGTTATCCGCTCGCGTTCTCGCGCTCGCGATAAGCTGGCGATTATTCGTCACGTTCGCTCTCACCGCGTGCATAACGCTTTCGACGTAACTCTTGTTCGTCGCGTCGTGGTTGTCGGTCGGCCAGGCCACTCCTCGTATCTTGAGACGCCGCGCGTCGTAATGCGACGCGGAGGAAGAGACGTCGGAGACGGTCAGGCACAGCGCGTTATCGCGCACGTAATTTCGCAGAGATTCCACGCTCGCGCGCAATCTAGCGCTCGTCGCGTCGCGACCGCGTCTTCTTCGCGTCGACACTCCGAACTTGCTCGCGAACATCGCGCCGTCGAATGAGGCGCGCGTCGCCGCGATCGTCTCACAGTATCTCGCCCGCCTCGCGGAGCTCCTCGATTATCGACAGGATCTCGTTGTCGTGAGCGTTGTTGCCGGCTTGACGAGAAGCGTCCAGCAATCTTAGACGATCCACCAATTCGTTCGGATCGTCCCAGTGAACGTAGTCCACGGTGTCGCGGGTCGCGCGCATAGCCCGCGGCACGCGACCCCCGCCGATCTTCTTCCTCGGACTGTCCGTCCGCAGGATCGGAGCTATGACGTGCTTGTACTTGTATCCCTTGTTTCCAAGTACGGGCATGCGAATATTGTGCTCGCGCCTGTGAGCGTTAGTTTGCAGAAGTATGCTCCTGTACGCGGCTTTGTCTCTCTCGGTGTACTTGAAATCGTCGGGAATTCTCTTGAAGATCAATTCGTACAGACCGGGAGTACCGGCGTATCTGACTCCGTCCACGAATATCGCGTCGTCGACGCCTACGTCGAATCGCTTGTCCCCGAGCATAGTGCCCGCGTCGGCGAAGTAGACTCCGTAAACGTGATCGAAATCGCTCGGCGCGCCGCCGCCGAGAAGAGCGCCCACGTACTTTCGCGCCAACGGGCCCAATTGATCGCGCAGAATGTCTCGCCCTCGAGGAGTCCGCAGAGATTGTCTCACGGACGTTTCGAGCGTCGTCGTCGGCGATCCGAGGAAGACGTCGTCGCTCGTCTCGAACGTCTCCTCGACGGACGGCCGCGCGAAGAGGTCTCCGCTCGCGAATTCGCGCCGCTGCGCGGGAGACGCGTCCGGCGCTCCCACGGGCGTGGAAGTCGTCGCGTTCAGACGGCGAGATCTCTTAGCTTTGAATCCTTTCGCGGACGGCGGCGGTAACGCGCTCTCCTCGGCCTCTTCCTCGTCGTCCTCCTCCTCCTCCTCCTCCTCCGACGCCACCGTTCTCTTGACGCCTCGCGCGAACGTCTCGTCGATCTCGCTCTTCGCCGGTTCCCTCTCTCGCGCGCTCGCGCCTCGCGCGGAATCGTCTCCGACGCGCTCGGCTATGCGTCGCAACGGCTCGACGATCGGTTTGAAACGCGTCTCCAGAGCGCTATCGCTCTCCATCTTTCCGGTCTTCAACGCTCTGTGCTTCCTGCGAATCGACGCGCGCGTTCTCGCTATCTCTATCGCGGTTTTCTCGCGTCTGTCGACGTCCGTCATCGCGCGCGTCATTTCTCGACGTTTCGCCTTCTCTTATCTCTCTCCCCTCTACGATCGCCACCGTCTCGAGAGGACCGACTCGTCCTCGACGACGACGCACGCGACGCTCTACGGCACGGCGTAATCGTTGAACCCTCGCCTGTATCTGCCGTTGCGCAGCGCGCTATCTTTGTCGATCACTAGAAAACCGTATCGGTATTTCCAACACGCGCGACACAGCGCGTGAAAATCCTCGTACGGCATATCGGTGTTCACGTGATCGCTGTGCACGTGTTTCAGATTAGTGCCATCCTGCTTAAAGAGTATCAACAGATTCGCGTTGTCGCGTATCAGATGTTTGGGTATCTTAGCGTACGATTGGCACAGATAGAAGCAATCGACCTTCGCGTGACGTCCCATGGCGAAGTACTCTCTCACGACGTCCTGTTTGTCGCAGGCCACGTCGTCGAACACGAATATCGAGTTCGGCGACGCCTCGCTAGGTGGGATGACGTCGACGTTGTTCGAATACGTGAAGTAACCGATATCCCTCATAGGTTTCAACAATTTCTCCAGATATCGATATTTAGGCTGATGCAACGATTTCGAGTAAACGTACACGTTCTCGAATCGCACGCCGTGCGGGCTCTCCAGAAGGCTTATCAGCACGTTCGTTTTACCGCAATTAGAGGGACCGCAGATTACGCAGCGGATCGCGGTCGGTAACAGATTACCGTGTCTTCGCGGTTCCTCGTTCATCGAGCGCGTCTTACCGTCGACGTTGGACACTCTTATCGCGATCGGTTGACGCACGAAACGCATCGTTTTCTCTCTCTCTCTCCTCTCGCGATTCTTCCTCGTTGTCGCGAGCGAATCTGCGTCACAGCGCGCAGACTCGCGCGCGCGCGAGCAACGAGCGCGGATTCGTCCTCGCGAACGGATATATATAGAGGGAGAAAAAAAACGATCGCGCAGTCAGGCGTGTCCGATCGACGGTGACGCGATAGAGTTACGCGCGCGCGCGCGCGCGACGCTTCGTCATGTTTATTCTATTGGTGAACGATTACGATATTCTCGGGCTCAACGTCGATCAGTTGCAGTACGTTCCGAAGAAGCTTCTGCTGGACAAGTACGGCGATTTCGTCGATCGATTGTGGGAGAGATTGCCCGTACATCTGCAGGACGATCCGGACGTGCAGCGTTATCGCCTCTGTCACAAGCATCACAATCAGCCGTGGCAACGAACGCACATCGACGGTCCGCCGCCGCGCGTCAAAGACTGCGGCGTGTGCCGGGAGAAGGAAATGGCGTGACGATGACGAGCGCGTCGACGATCGAGGCGTATGAGATACGCCGAGGACGCCGCGACGGAAGTCGTCGGCGGTAGCGGTTTGCTCAATAGAACTATAAACGCTCTTCCGTTCGAACTACATATACCGGGATATCAGTTCTGCGGCCCCGGTACTCGTCTCGCTAAGCGGCTCGCGCGAGGCGATCGTGGCGTCAATCCGCTGGACGCGGCTTGCCGCGAGCACGACGTCGCCTATTCGCGGAGCGACGATCTCGCCGATCGGCACGTCGCGGATCGGACGCTCGGAGCGAGAGCGTTCGAGCGTATCC